TTTTACAGGTGCTCAAAGCGCTTTACAAATACACATTACACATATTAGACATGTAAGAGTCATTACTGTGGACATTACCCACAGGAGCAAATGCGGGTAAAGTGTCTTGCCCAAGGACACAACGGCCTGACCCGAGGCGGGATTCGAACAGGAGTTCACCAACGCCTGATGACCAACGCTCTAACCACTGCGCCAAAACCGCCCAATGCTAAAGTTACCGATGAAGAGCGCTGGAAAAGAGACTAAATTAGAGTATTTTTTGTATTTATGTTATATATTTGTTTAATAATATAATTTGTTCACAGTGTACAAATGTGAGTGGTCAGGATCCATTATCACAAACAACGTCATGCATAAAGACTGACATNCTAAAGTTACCGATGAAGAGCGCTGGAAAAGAGACTAAATTAGAGTATTTACACTGTGAACAAATTATATTATTAAACAAATATATAACATAAATACAAAAAATACTCTAATTTAGTCTCTTTTCCAGCGCTCTTCATCGGTAACTTTAGCATTTCTGAGTGTCCTTGAACGCATCAATATTAGCATATGCGTCACACCAAGCCCGGGAGATTTATTCTGCTCTGACTACTGCTAGGTAAATTCATGTATCCATAAACACCTCAAGTTTAAAGTGTCAAATGAACTCTTTTTAAAAGTATAACACACCGTTTGAATTTTCATAGACTGTTTATTGGCGTGAGAACTGATATTAATTTACACATTAAAGGAAACAGCTTCTTAGCAGCGTATCCAGTCTTAGCCCGTTAGCATTGCGCTAACGGGTTAACAGCTAGCAGCGTTGCGTTAGCCCGTTAGCATTGCGCTAACGGGCTAACGCTGCTAGGCTGCTAGCTAACTTAATATCTCCCTAAACAGTTGAACTTTAAAGTGTCAAATGAACAATAGTTTCTGTATATAGTTGTTATATCACTTGTTCTTTCGCAAAAATTACTTTATTTTTGTTCACCTTTTCACTTTGTGGTTTTACATAATATATTTGTTAGTAATTGATTCAAACAGTTTTATATAGTTTTTTTCATGTATTGTTTGACAGATTTTCACTCGTGTTTTTACTGAATACAATTTGTTAGCAATTGATTTGAAACGTTTTAGATAGTTTTTTTCCCCCATGTTCTGGTTTTTGAAAATAAAATTTGCCAAATGTTACTATTTCACCAGTTATTTTTGCATTTTCAACTTTTCCTACGAATAACATTCTACATTCAAAGCCTTACATCTTTAACATTTATACATTTGGAGTTTCATGCTACTTTTTAACTTAATATTCATTCATATGGAAACCATTCAGTCATCCAAATATTCCTGATTTTTCACTTTCTTCTTACACATTATATTTCAGCATAAAGCATTCCCACTAGCAATTTCTTCAGGAATTGCATTCTCTAGTTTGTTTTGTTTTCTCAATAAATGCTATTTTATTCCTGTCTATAACCCTTCCTTCACCTATATTGCTACCTTTCAATAGAAAACCCTTTACACGCGAAATGCCCCGTTCCATGTGGTGATCACCAGCTACCAGCTCGTAGTGCAGGACGTGAAGTACTTCCAGAGGGTCAAGTGGCAGTACATGGTCCTGGATGAGGCGCAGGCTCTGAAAAGCAGCACCAGGTACGCAGAAAACATCATGTTCAGTAATACTGTTTACCCAAACACATCACAGGGTGCATTCAAATACAGCCACTCCAAATGTTTCTTGAATCTCAATCTCTACATGCAATACACATCCATTCAATTCCAGTGTCAGTTGAATTCCAACAGAGAAATGTTGTCAGTAGTTTATAAAGTAAAATAAAAAAATGTTAATTTTACTCGAACACAAACCTATACATAGTAAAACCAGAGAAACTGATAATGCTGTAGTGGTCTCTAATATTTTTTTCCTGAACTGTATGTTAAAATAAAATACTTGATATTTTAATACTCATGTTAATACTTTTTAGAAGACCGTACTTTGTTTTTTCTTGTTTCAGCCTTCCCCCTATTAATGAAGTCAAATATAGCATTTTAATACAGCTTGTTTACTGACTAAGTAAACATATAGTATTTCTATAGTTGCGTGTCTCTGCAAGTTATTTTACGTAGATCTGATATTTAATTTGGAAACATTTGACTAGTACATGCAGGGCAGCGATATGATCCTTTTAAAAATGTTTTGAAAACCTGTTTAAAAAAAACAGTTTACCACCTCTACAAGTACAAAGGTTTGCGTCATTTTATGATTACTATTGACTCAGGCCAAAATCTACAAAACTAGTAACACAATGTTTTTTTATCTTGATAATTCGAGTAGTTGGTGTGATTACCGTTCCCCTCTGTTTTTTCAGTGTTCGGTGGAAAATCCTTCTGCAGTTCCAGTGTCGAAACAGACTGCTGCTCACCGGGACGCCCATCCAGAACACTATGGCTGAGGTGGGCAGTGTGTTTTTGTGTGTTAGTGTGTTCATGGAAGTCAGTGTGAGCCAGACAGACCTGTTGACGGCTGTGTGTTATTACTTTCCCTCAGCTGTGGGCCCTGCTGCACTTCATCATGCCCACACTGTTTGATTCCCACGACGAGTTTAACGAGTGGTTCTCCAGAGACATCGAGAGCCACGCTGAAAACAAGTCTGCCATCGATGAGAGTGAGTACAAACCCCGGCGTTCTGAAAAAACAATTTTTATCCCCTGTTTTAGCCGGCAGAACATCAGGTTATTCGCGTGGATATGTGTCATTTGTGTGCCAGCATTGAACTGTTATCTCTGCTCAGTGATGTGTGTGATTTTCTCTGCAGCTAAACACGATTGTTGGATGTTTTTGTTTCAGACCAACTCTCCAGACTGCACATGATCCTCAAGCCTTTCATGCTGCGCAGAATCAAGAAGGATGTGGAAAACGAGCTCTCAGACAAGGTAGGGGGGGGGGAATGTATTCAATGTGGCAACTGAGATTCTTGTCCAGAGTTTAACATTTTTTCTGAAAGTAATTGGGCATTTGGTTCTGGACATGTTGCCATGTTTTGAGAGCAAATGTTTTCCATGTGGTGTCCTCGAGAAGGGCTTTGGATTTTCCAGGAACCAAACGAACAAGTAACTTTCAGGGAACATTACCTACTGGTTCCCTGAAGGTTATTTAGGATAACACATAAGAAAACCGTCAGTGAACTTTCCCTTAAGGTTATTTAAAAAACTTTAGTGAACCTGTTAAGGAATGTTTCCTGAAGGTTCTCTAAAGGTAATGTAAACGTCTACAAAAATATTAAAATTACCCTCAGGAAATGTTCCCTAAAGGTTCTCTGAAGGTTATTTTAAGGTATACAAAAAAACATTTAAATGACCCTTGGGTAATGTTCTCTAAAGGTTTTTCCTCATAAGGGAACATTCCCTGAGGGTTATTTAAAAAACAAAAACCTTTAGAGAACCTTTTAAGAATGTTACCCGAGGGTAATTTAAATGTTTTTTGTATACCTTCAGAGAACATTTAGGAAACTTTCCCTGAAGGTTATTTAAAGCCATAAACTTAAAAAAATAATAATTAGGAAACGTTCCCTGAATGTTCTCTAAAGGTAAATCAAAGTTATACAAAAAATGTTCTTAATGTTATTCTAATAAGGGAACATTTAAGTTATAACGAATGTATGTTGCATGTTAACATATAAAAATAATCTTTTACCAATGTTTGCAAACGTTTTTCTCATGGCTATATAAAGATCTTTTTTTCCTTAAACCACCCCCGGGGACGAGCGTTTGTGGAGCTTTACCAGATCCAAATATCATTTGCTGAAAAGATTCTGCCATATGTTTAGACAAAAGTCAACACCATGTCGTCCCACTTCTTTCCTCTCCTGATTAAACCTGCACCCTCCCTCCATCTGTCCCCCCGTACCCCTCCTCATTGACAGAGAAAGTGTTGTAATAGGCTTGTGCTGGCAGATCCTCCTGACAGATGTTGGACTCACACATACTCACTCACTCGCTGTGGGAGGCAGAGTTCTCCCCCACATATGTCTCTTTCACTTTCTTTCACTCTAACATGCCAGCCCACTTCCTTTTTCTTCTCCACTTCGCACACACAAGCCAATAGTAACGTTCACTCACGGTGCATGGTTAGCTTTTAACGGTTTGTTGTTGTTCACTTTCACTGCTCTCATCAAAGCATGACCCCCGATACAACCAAAGATCTTGATGTGTGTTTTTTAAGAATGTGGGTAAGACTGGGCATGGAGTCTGCACCCACAAATACACATGTCCGTCGAGCCATGTGAAAATACTGTGTGTTTTCTATGGAGGGATAACAAAGCAGTAATGCTGAGTCATTTGTCTTAACTGTCTCCACATGTGATATAAATGCAAAAGCCAACGTTTACCTTGTAAATCAATCTTTTTTAACATCTCCAATTGAGAGAAGTTTCATCCGCTGTTGTCTTATTGCACATATTCCTTTCTTGCTTAAGGAAAACCAGACTGTTTAAAGTGTCATCGGCCCAAATAAAACACTGGAAATCTTTAAAACGGAATGATTTGAACAAATGTAGATTTAGAAAACCACCAAGAAAATCAAGAAAATAGTTATTTGTAGTTATATCTCCTTTTTTTTAGCCCCCCTTGCAGGTTCGACCCTTAATAGTTGTAATACTCTTTACACACTTGTTCTCTCTCCCTCTACAGATTGAGATCCTGACCTACTGCCAGCTGACGTCCCGGCAGAGGCTGCTCTACCAGGCTCTGAGGAACAAGATCTCCATTGAGGATCTGCTGCAGTCCTCCATGGGCTCGTCACAGCTGTCCCACAACACCACCTCCTCCCTCATGAACCTGGTCATGCAGTTCAGGAAGGTAGGACGTCCCAAAATAGAATAAAGTACATTTAACATGAACACAGCTATAAAAAGCTATTCAGATACAGCAATCAAAAATGATTGATGGTTGTTATTAATCCTAATAACTTGAGGATCATTTTGAATTTTCTTTCTGCAATCGTTAATAGTGCTACATTTTATGGGAATAAACTTTGAGATGCACAATTGAGCATGGCTCATTCCAAGCACAAGCATGAGTAATGCTTTAATGATACACTGTCTGTCTCCTTGTGTGTGTAGGTGTGTAACCACCCTGACTTGTTCGAGCGCCAGGAGACCCGCTCTCCGTACCACATGTTCCTGAAACCCTACGTCATGTCCAAGTTCCTCTACCGCCACGGCCTCATCTACGCATGCAACCAGTCCAAAAACAAGTATGTTATTTCACATACATGATACAGCACACAGACATGCCTGACACCCAATGAAAACAGGTCCATCAAATATTCTACAAGCACTGTTTTGAAAAGGGTTAGTTTCACATTTTAAATGTTAAAAAAGTAAAATATTCTTTCTTAGCAAATCTAATTTGTTGATTTAGGCTATTTTCCCTATAACAGCTATTACTACTTAGGAATGACTCGTTCACTTTTTCTCACATTAAGTGGTGTAACCTTGTATGTCTCTTCCTCAGATTACTCCAAGTGCTGTTGTCTCCCTTCTCCCCCAATCACATCCAGCAGTCTCTTTTTCACAGAAAAGGTGAGTGTGTATAAAGCGTTGAATTTAACACAAAGCTCTCGATAGATACATTTTCAAACTTTCCCTCTGACCCCAGTGTTTTCTCCTCGCCTCCTTGTGATGTTTCCCTCATTCTTTCCCTGCTCCTTCTTTTCACCTTTTTTCCTATTTAATTTCTGTGTTGTTTTCTACATTCTGTTTTTACCCTTTCAGGTGACGACAAAGGAAGCTGTTTCTCCTTCCTGCGCTTCATCGACGTCTCACCAGCTGAGATGTCCAATCTCATGCTGCAAGGAACCTTAGTAAGGTGAGCTTAAAGATTCCTATCTGTTAAATAATCAATAATGTCCAATTTTACACCGCATGGTAATAGCAGAATTCATTTTTGTCCCCCTCTCCTGTTCATTTCTCTTGCAGGTGGTTAGCCCTTTTTCTGTCCCTCAAAGCTGCTTATCGGCTCCACCATCAGCGCCTGTTCGGCCTTGAAGAAGAAGAAGAGGGTCAGGAGGAAGCCGGAGACTCACTGGGGGAGAGAAGGGGGTCACAACCCAGGACTAAAGGTCTGTCTCGCAAGGACTTGATCTTGTGGCTGAACAGACCCACCAATTTCCCCAACGTGCAAACCAGCCCCGTCCTGCAGGTAAGAAACAGACTCAGACTTAAAGGTCACCTATTATGCAAAATGCACTTGTTGATGTGTAAGGAGACTCACAGTATCAGAAAACACAACCTTCTCTCTTTTCCTCCTTACCCTCATCTCTAAAAATGGGGGTACAACGGAGCAGATCCAGATTTGCTGCGGTCATTTACGTTGAACTTCTGGCCACGTTCCGCCCACGGCCCAACCTATCAGAAATGTTGCTGTATCAGAAACAATGCGCAACGTATTTTTTAATTAATGTGGTCTGTTTTTACATTAGCAAGCAACGCTAACACTCAGAGTGAACGCTGTAATGGAGAGAGTATGTGTAAAAAAGCTGGATATAAAAAAGTACTCGCCTTGTGGTAAACCCGTGAGAGAAAAGCATTTGAGCTCCATAGTGTTTCAGAAATAATCCTTGATGTGGTTTGTACCATACTATGGCGTTTAATCACTGCAGCGTTTAACTGAGAATCTGGGTTGAACTCTCTCTTCAGAGGAGAGCTCATGCATGCTCCAAAGGGGCGTGGCCAGCAGTAGCTCGGCAACATTTAAAACTACGGACCCAGCATCAGCACTTTAGTTACAGGGCTGAAATAGAGGGGTGTGAGGCAAGGCTAGAATGGGTGATCTGTTTGGTATTTTGAGCAAAACACTTCATAGACATGTATCTTATACATCTGAGACCTATAATACATGCCTAAAAATAGTATGATAGGAGACCTTTAAATCTATGTACCAGAGCAGCACATGACTGACAGGAGAAACTCCAGCAGCAGTGTTTCCCCTACCATTGTCTTGGCGGGGCGCTGCGCCCTGTCAACGGAGCCCCGCGCCCTGCCTGAAATTCAAGGTTTTTTTTGGGTTTTTTTTTTATTTAAAAAAAAATATATATACATATATATAGCACCAAATTGCAACGGAAGTAATCTATCTACGGTCACTTTTCACATGTGCTCTTTTATTCACATTCTCCCTCCGCTCTGTTATTTATCCAAGGCTCCGCTCCCCACCCCCCCCCCCTCTTCTTTTTTCGGTCTCTTTTTGTGTGGTGGTTTTTGTGTTCTCTTGTATTTCTTTTGAGTGAAGAAAGTGATATATAGTGTGTCGAGTAGTCGATGAATAGTATAGAGAGGTGTTTGTTGTGTTGGAGGAAAGAGTGAGAGATAAAGTAGTTCTATATGTGTATAATGATGTGCTGAGGAGAGCGAGAATATTGCATTATTGGGCCAGAGCTCTGCTGTCTGCCTGTTTGGGTCCCCCCCCAGTTTCAAATTTGTTATTATGTATTTTTAACCGCAAAGCCGTTATCGTCACGGGAGGACACACACAGCCTGCCCAGGTGGGACGCGCGCAAACGCGACAACGAACGTAGCGTGCCACATTCTAAAAATAGCTCCACAGATGAGGTGAGCAGGGTCGCGTTGTTGTTGTGCGGGGGGGCGGATTTGAAGCTGACCGTGTATGAAGTTTGATTTGGTATGTATTATGTGTTTCTTGTGATAGTATAGTGAGTTGTATAGAGTTGTGTTGTTGTATTAATGTAATTATATATATTGATGATCGTGCGTGAGTGATAGTAGGGTGTGTGGGGGGTAAGATAGGGTGTGGGTGTGGTATCGGTCGGCGACGTGAGGAAGAGTGAGTCGTTGTATATAGTAAGAGTTGAGGAGCGTAATATGTTCTTTATTCTCGCATCCAGGAGAGAAGCTTTAAAATGAGACTAAATGGAGTCTCTGAGAAGATTCAAATGGGATACTTTAATTAAAAGAAGAATAAAAGCTTAACTGGTTGTGCACGAGAATTTCTGTTTTTTTTCAGTATAAAACAGCATTTTAACTGATGGCATGTTTAAACTAAATTATGCCATAAAACATTGATTTTAATTTCTAACAAGATGTGAGTTGGTTTATTCAGTAAATTAGCTCAGGATAATTGGATGTTCTGTCTCCACCTGTTGATGTGAAGCTAATGCGGGATTTGAGGGAAGCAGCAGCAGCAGCACAGGGTTGCAGCAGGTATATTATATGCTGTAGTCAGGTGATTTAAACGTATCAATGAAAGGAAGAAGTGTAGGCTACATGAGAAGAAGGGAATACAGTTTGAATAAAAGTAATTAGTAGTGTAACACTGTACTTTATTACTTTTTAATGTACAAATACTTTGTTACTGTACGATATCAATAACAATAATCCACAGCTCCTCTCTCTGCTCCAGAGGATAAAAAAAATGTGGGTGCCCCGAATTTCTTTTCGGGGGGGGTACCCGAGCAGCACCCTGCCAAGGCAGTAAACCTAGGGGAAACACTGAGCAGTGAGACATGGGATGCTGACGAGGCTGACATTTCCCCCAGAGCATACGTCAGTGTTTGGCCACACAGCTTGCTCTCTGCCCCCGGCCTCGTCTCTCTCCTCTGGGATCCAGTGTGGAACCCAATCCCTCTGTCGCCCCGTGACCCAGTAACAGTGTCCTCCATCCCTTTAATGTGTCTCCAGAGTGCAGGCCAACATCTATCTGCAGGCTACTTCCACTGTCAGACATGTAGAGGAAAGTCACATTTTAAAGGTTAAAATATAGAATCCCTACTGTTTTAAATGCTATTTTATATTAGGCGCAATAACCTGGTATTTTAATTACACATTTGTCGTATTGGTAATGTTATGGAGGGATATAAAACTAGGTTTGGGCGACACAGAGAAAATGTAATATTAGGATATTTTTTAACACATACCTCAATATTTCAAAACGTGAACAGTATCGTAGGATTGACCATCATGGCTTTATTTGGGTAAATAATGAACAGTAATGTGGGTATAATGACTAAGTGGGTAAAAGCAAGAAATAGAACAGCATAGCAAGTTCCGAAAATTACAACATTATCGATGTGCAGCCTTTGAAACAAGGAAAAAACATCAATAATGCCATAACATGATACCCAAAATCAAAGACAATATCTTATCTCATATTACAATATTGATTTAATATCAATATAGTGCGTATTCTTTATTGTGAACTAAACATTGTTTTCTGTTTGCACTGAAACAAATATTTTTATATTATTATATCATTCTTGTTTTTTCTTTTTTTTCTTTCTTTAACATTGGAGAATACAAAATGGCTTTACCATATCGTTATTTTACATAGACTTTTTTCTATTTACTGAATGACCAGAAAACGCGTTATATCATGTATATATATCATATATATCATTATTGTGATACGAAATGGCCTATACCTTGATAAAATGTGGCCTACCTCACATCCAACTATTCTGCAACTTCACTCAAATAGGATTTCCGATAAGCACTCACTCAAATATGAGAACCACAGAGTGAAGTATAGAAAGCACCTATTTCCAATCTTTTTTTAAATTTATTGTTTGGCAATATGGCAGCCTAATTGTCGCGGGGGAATAGACAGTACAAAGCACAGTAGCCAGTCCAAATATACAGACCCCCTCAAAGCAATGTGTACAGCTGCAGCCCGCAGATAAACTGCTAAGTCGCTCTTTTTAAGTCCTCCTTCTTAGAGGAAAAGAAACAATTATTAAGAACACATTAAATATTTCACCCCATTGGCAGATATGTATCAAATTCCCATCCTCCACCAATTGTAACCGAACTTGCACGGTGGAAACTACTCAGCAGAAAATGCTGCCGGGGTAATTCCATCCTCCTCTTCCTCTCTCGGCCTCCTCACACTCTGCCGAGCAGCTTAGGTTCCCCCTGGAGCGGCTTAAAGGCAGAAAGAGCAGAAAAATAACAGAAGCCAGTTCCAATAGGAGAAGAAAAGAGAAACGTTTACAGACACCTGGAGAGCTAATACTGTATGACTCTGCTGACCCCCCAGACTCCCACTTAAGCTTCGAGAAGAAATGATTCTCCCACCGTTCACTTCCTTCTACTCCTCGTTTGTCTCCTGAAGCTGCTGGCACACAGTCTCTCTCTCTCTCACTGCACAGTGTGCTCAGTATTGCTTTCAGCTTTCCTGCTGTTAATGTGGAGGAATTGAGAGAACCGGGCTATTTTAAATGATCCCCTGAACGTTTTTACTCTTACGTTAAAAGGAGTCTCTGTCCCTCTGTATCACTCTTTCTGTCTGTCAATCCCAATATCAAACACATCTATCAGCCATGTGTGGGGTAAAATACGTTTCTGTTTACATTTCAAATGGATTTATTACAATTGATTTAGCTGACACTTTTATTCAGCGCAACCTACATAAGTGCATTCAACCACGTAGACACAAACTTAAAAATAGTATATAGTAGTACAATAAGCGTTCCCAATAACGGGGTAGTAGGGTACATCTGCAATCATTTCCAAATATATATTTTAACCATTTAAACCGTCTTTCAGTGTATAAGCTTAGTCTTGATAAAAAAGTTCAGTGTCTCAATCTCATGAATTTCTTTAATTGATTTTGAACCAATGAGTAATTGCTCTTTTTACTGCTACAGTGAGTATTCTGAGGAGGTATCGATCACTCCCTGTTATTTCTACTGCTAGGTCTCCCAAATAAAAAACAACTTATGTGTGTTTTTGTTAAAACCAGCATCTCAATACCATTGTTGTACCCTAGGAGGATACAATGTGGCATGGAGGTCAAGTGTTATTGAGGCTATGTGTTGTGTGTGTGAATCATACAGCCTATAGTGTGAATACATGAAGGTGTGGATGCATGTGCTTGTCATATAGTATGTTTGTCTTTTAAAATGTTTGTGGGTCCCACTCTCTTTGTCATAATTATCTTACCATCATCCATCTCAAAACACCACAGTATATACCAACGCTCTCTCCACATTTTCAATATATCCTTGATAAAAAGAAAAATCAATCCAATAGTGGAGATGTCTCGAACCTGACTATGAAGGATGTCATTTTCCAAACTCTACCATTAGGTGGCACTGTGTATCCATCATTGTTGCAGTGTCAACTGCACATACCTCTTATAACACCTACCACTGCAATACATACAGTATATGAATAACTCATCATTATGTCTATGCGTAAAATGTCGATTTAAATATGTTTTGCCCAAACGTTATTTGCAGGACAGATTACATGAACGGGCGCGCTGTTGATCCTGTGGAATACACAGCTAAATTCCTGTATAAGCTGCTTAATCATAGGTTTTACATAACATTTTTAACATTAAGCTGAAATAAAATGTTTAGGAGTGTAGCCAATAAAGCCTAAATATACTGTCAGAGCAGTTTACAAAATAAACATGAGCGCTGCACTCAGTAACCTCTGCAGCTCGGTTTGTTTACCTCAAAGTGTTTCTGCTTATTTCTCTACAATTAGATTTTTTTATTTGAATTTTTAATCAACTTTGCCACAAATCAAAGCAGGAATAAGTTCATCAGGCGGTGTCAAAGCAAGATGTTTTGAAATGACTTAAATAATACAGTTCAACACTCGCTTGTACTTGGAAGTTTTTGGCTTAATATAACAGGGTAGTAATACATAACGTTTTATTTGTTGTGTTTTAGGACTTGGTGTTCACAGCCTTAAGACCGGGCATGATGGGACACACAGACGTGATGATCCACTGTCGAAGCTCCGCCACTTCCACGATGCGGCCCTGCCAACCCACACCGCCACCCAAGTTCCTGCTAGCTGCCACGCCCAGGGTATGTATGTGTATGTGTGTGTGTGTGTGTGTGTGTGTTTGTGTGGACAGTTTGTGTGGACAGTTTGTGTGTGTGTGCTGACCCATCCAAGACAGACAAGCCTTTGGGTGGTCGTGGAAAGGGAAGAGGGAAGCGCTGTGCACATTGCCTTTGTAGGTTTTCCACAATGAGCAACTCTTATCTGTGAAGTGTGTGTGTGGTTGGGGTGTGGGGGTGACCGCTGTGGCTTCCCGCTGCATTTAAAACGAACAGACCCTCTAAAAAAAGGGTTTCTTGCTCAGGTTGTTCTCCAGTGGTTAAGCTTCCTCTTCCCCCCCCCTCCAATATACACACTGCCACACATACACACACTCCAACATGCATAGCCACACACAGAACCTGCTGATTCAGTCAAACCGGCTTGTATGCAGTGGTTTTATAGATCTCTTGGTGGTACATTTATCAGCGTTTTTTAATCTATAGCTCAATTAAAAAGCACTTGAAACATAGCCTCGTGCAGAAAAAAGCAAATGTATTATGTATAAAAAAATGCAAGGTATAAATAATTAAACAAAAGTAATACAATCCTGGTTGTTACACATTATCCTAAAAAAACATATCCTTCTCTCCTCAGCACACATTGTTTCCTTTTGTTTCAAACGTGTGAAACCCTCATCTCTCTTTTTCGGTTTCCTAGGTGACAGCAGTTCCAATGGAGCGTTATTGTGATGACCGCAGTGCAGAGTATGAGTGGCGGGTGACGCGCGGCGGGGGGGGCGCAGTCTTCAAACAGTGTTTCCTCTACGGCTCTCCTGAACTTGCCTCGGATTGGCGTGTGAGGTCCAATTCCTTCTACCCACAATGCCCTGGGGGTGTGATGGCCCTCTATCCACGACATGGATGGTCCTACATCCGGATACCTGGTAAGGACTTTGTGTTTTTGTGTTGTGTTAATGTTGTTGATATACTGTGAAGTTAAGACACTGATGGGATGTCTTTATTGGTCAATTGTGCTGTAGCTCACACTGGGGAAAGGGTAACACATAGTGTCTATTAGTAAAAACAATTGGCACTGTTAGTCTATAGCCGCTGCCTGCGTTGTCTTGGGAAAAATGAGTTGAAAATGTTTCAAAAATAAAGGTGATTTTTAAAGCTTATAACTTCAACCCACCTTCACCTTCATTTGCTCGAGTCATATTAGTGTTAAATATTGTTTTCTAACAATCCTAGAGTGTTTTGGTGTAAGTTTATTGGTTGATTTAGTTCGTACAATAAAGTAGTTCCTACATTAAACCACTCATAACAAGTTCTGTAGGTTATCTTTTTTAAATGTATTTATATTTTTTGTGCAGGCTAAAGACACAAACATGGACATAACAATAACATATAGGAGATGACATTCCCATCTCAGACAAAACCAAAAAAACAAAAACTGTGGGTTATCTTGAGTTACGGATCATGGTACCAGAAAAGAGACATTGCATGTAGGGATGCACCGAATATTCGGCCGCCGAAAATTATCGGCCGAAAATGGTTAAAAAGGCCCTTTCGGCTTTCGGAAAAAATATCACCGAATGTCAGAGAACAGGGTTACGTTGGTAAGCTAACGTGTTGTTGTGATGACGTAATCAAAACGCGGCGACAAGCACGGCGCGCGACCATGCTCGCGGCTGGCTCACAGCCAACATGTCTGCCGCTTGGAGATATTTAAAAATATCAGAGAAAGAGGCGCGGATTGCGATTTGTAAAACGTGTTCAGCTGACATTTCTCGAGGGGGTGTAACTGCAAAGACTTTCACCACTTCGGGATTACTCCACCACTTGAAATCAAAACACCCGGACAAATATGCGGAGTAAGATCAAATCACAAGCACTGACAGCGAGAGACTGTTCAGCGCTGCCTCTCATGTGCTTGATGAGAAGAGGAGCAGACTTATGGCTGATAAAGCAGAGAAGCTACTGTTCATTAAAAATAACCTCCCACTTTTCCTTAATAAGTAGACAAGGCTGGCTTATCATAAGTTATCTAGTTCTACATGTCTACTCTATACCCACTTTCCTGAACAATTTTCATTGTGAGTTATAATTCACCATCTCAGGTTATCATTAGGGGGAAATGACAGCAGCACAGTGTTCAATATATTGTACTTTCGGTATCTAAATGATACAATGTTGTTTACATTGCTCATGAGGACAGACCACCTTATTTGCAGATTCTTGAAATTGTAATTTAATTTGTAATTGATTGTGGATTTTGTATCCAGTCTTCACTTTATGTATCTTTATACAATGTTTACTACTTTGCTTATGAGGACAGACAGCCTTATTTACAGATTCTTGAAATTCAATTGTAATTTCATTTGTAAATAGTTACATTCATGTGGATTTATCCAGTTTGCACATTTGTATGCATGCACTTATAGGTGCATTTGTTGTTGTTGAAGGCCTGGTTGTTACAGTCTTTATTTACACTATTTTGTTGTAGGCCTACTGGCCTAGATGTTTATACAGTTTTAAAGCACCTTGGCTTTGTTCTGAATGCACTTTGTTGTAGTTATCCTACAGAGAAAATGCACTTGACTTGGAATGAATGTACTGTATGCATTCAAAAGTGCTGAATAAATGTTTTATGGACCCATAATAGTGATTACTATTTAAGTTAAGTTTTGCCATAATCATTTATTTTTCCATAATCAGGCAGCTGAACAACATTGGTAAAAAATGTATACATATATATATATATATATATTTCTATTAATCATTTTCGGCATTCGGTTTTCGGCCAACCGTTTCCTATTTTCGGTATCGGTTTCGGCCAAGAATTTCCCATTCGGTGCACCCCTACTTGCATGTTTTAATTTTCTGAATGTACTGTGTTGGCAATGGGAGTACCGAAAGCCAAATGCCATCTAGTTCCATTATGTTCAAGGGGGGTCATAGACATTGACACCTTTACTGCTGTTATCTTCAACTTTTGGCAACTCACAAACAAACTAGACTGATGAAAAGCAATTATACTTCAGGTGTACTGTCCCTTTTAATAGAGCTGTTTTATTAACTGCTGGATATCCAGTTTTGACTGAAGGGTGAAAAAGAGGCTCCCGTGGGAGAGTCCACAGAGGCCAGCCCAGGGTCAGCAGGTCAGAGCCGGGCACATCACTCTCCTCCATCCTGGCCTGTCTGTCTGCCAGGCAGCCAATCCCTCACTATCTAATGGAGCTGCCCAGATAAAGGGCTTCTGCACAAGTTCACTCACATTACCAGCGAGTTTCCATTAGGTGTGAATACCGGTCCGTGTGTGTGTGTACGTGTGCTTACAATCGCTTTTATCAGAAGAGCTTAGCTTGTGGAGTTGAGGGTCAGATGGGGCAGAGTGGGAGCTGATTCTCTGCCAGCGTTCAGAGGACTGATGGATGTCCAGGGTGAGAGAGGCCATTACTGCTTTACAGACAACACTTCCCTTCTCACTGACCCTCTCTACGTCTGATAAAAAAAGTCTCCGTCATGGATTAGGATGACTGCTCTCTTTTGTTTTGTGTGGCAACAGAAGTTTCTGGCACGGAAATTGGACGTGTGTGTCCTTTTCAGTGGTGGAATGTTATAAAGTACATATACTCAAGTACAGTATACTTGTGTTTTACCTGAGTATTTTAATGCTTTGCTACTTTATACTTCTACCTTACTACATTTTGGAAGCCATTAATGTACTTTTTACTCCACTGCTTCATTTGACAATTAAGATACTAATCACTTGACAAATTCAGATGATTAGCTAATGCAAATTGTATATCAGGATTCATGAAATAAATTAATATTGACGAATAATTGTTATTTTTAATTACAGCTCAGATAAGCTCAACCTTTATTACCTGTGATAGACACTTGAATGCATCAATAATCATTATCCAGTTATTTGGATACTGAAATGGGCTATTTTATATATAATGTTTACTTTTGGAACTTAATTTATATTTTGATTTGAATACAAAAATATTGCTTTTATTTAAGTAATATTTTGAATGCAGGATTGAATTAGAATCTTTTCCTTTCTTTCCCCGTACCCATCTGTGTATACATGTGCTTGTGAGAGTGTTTGTGTGTAAAAGTGAGAAACCAAACAAGTATTTGTGTGTCTGTGTGAGAACAGTCTGAAAGCTCTTGTGAAGTTATACGGAGGCAGACAAAGCGAGGAAGTTTAGCTACTGGTCATTGTTCAAGTGCTTAGTTAGGTAACACTAATAGAGAGAGAGAGAGAGAGAGAGAGAGAGAGAGAGAGAGAGAGAGAGAGAGAGAGAGAGAGAGAGAGAGAGAGAGAGAGAGAGAGAGAGAGAGAGTGTGTGTGTGTTGTGTGTACTAGCGGGTCCACTTAAGGGAACTGTGAGGCACTCACAGGGAGCCCTGAGGTGTCTCTCACCTCTCTCCGCACACTCTCCCACGCTGCCCTTTTCACACGCAGTCAAGAGGACAAGCCTCCATCTCTCCGGCCAACGGACAGGACGGGGGCGCTGATCTGAAATCAGTATCTGGCCAAAGCCTCTCAGTCCGTCTGGTCTCCCACTTCTTTCTCAGCCTCAGTAGGAAGGAAGTGACCCAACACTCCGGCACCCGTCCTCCGCTGAACACATTGTTGCCACATCAAGGCCTAGATATGTACAGTAGCTAAGCTGAAGTTTCCCACCCTCCCTCTCCTCTGCACTCCCAGCCCTGCACCTTTCTAGAACAAATGGCAGAGCTGAATAACTGTTTGTTTTGAGCGCCATGGCGTGAGTATGGCTGCCCACTGATATCGACGGAGGAATCTAATCAGAGGACTTATTAAGAATCGGTCCGTAGATCAGGAAAAAACAATTGAGTCTTGGGTCTCAGATTTGTTTGTTTTTTATGTTATTGTGGTAGACACATTTCCCTGGGGAAACTATGTTTTTCATTCAAAAACATCTACTCTTTTTTTAACAGCATTAACTAGAAGATCCTAGACCTTTACCAAGACTGATCCCTGTCTCGAGATGTTGACGTAAAAAGCAATTTGTGTATCTGTTCCAAAACGAAATGGGTTCTTCCTTGGCCCATGTTACAGCCTTCCACTAGATTTTATGATAATTGGGCTTGGAGTTTTTATTTAATATTGCTGACAAACGGACAAACTAACATAAACATAACCTCCTTGGCGGATGTAATAATCATAATTATGTGATACTGCTGCACCTGATCAGAGCGATAGCAAGGCACATGCAGGGTATTATGAGTCAGAAATTGAACCCATGTTACGCATGTATGCAGTAATGTAGTCTTAGCCACCAGGACGCGACAGACCAAGAGGTTTTGACTATAATCAAGAGAGACATTCCAAGCCTTGTTTGTTTGCTATAATGCTGCTGTTCTGTGGTCACCTGTCTTTTGCATTGCGGAAAAACTTGTCACATCCAGACACATTTCATGTCGATAAAGGTTCAAAATCACTTCTGACGGGAAGTCGTTTTGCGTGCTATAGGATTATTTGCAGAACATTCCAGTGTGACACAGAAATAACATCCCCTCGCTGTCTGTGTGGGCTCTGCATAACTTACAGTAATTATAAGGAGCCACTCCGCAAAATGACGGCCTTCTCGCTACAGCGCCAACTTTTGGCTCCTTTTTTGCTAGCTTTATTGCAAGCTGGGAATCGACTGTGCTGTAGAGGAAGATATGTGTGTGAACGGGATGGTAAAGGACTATTTTTGTGCGTCTTGTTTTGCAGCTAGTTTTTAATGACTGTATTTATGTATATCAATAAGACTGTGAGACAGAGAGAGAGTCAGGTCTGGCCCAGCCTACATCAGGCTGTGGGAAATGCAGTTCTGCCTTCCTGTCCCTTCAAAGAAACTCTGCTCTCCAGCAAAATGGCAGGAAGCGTCCCCCGGCCCTCTGATAGACGGGCACACAA